GAGCAGGTAATGCAGCGTCATCTAATACCCAAGGGAAGCCTGTAATATGACGGGGGAAAAGAGCAAAAGCAAAAATGGCCGGGGTACAGCTCAGTGATAGAGCACTTGACCAGCATGTGTGAGACCCTGGCTTCGATTCCCGGCATTGATGAATAAATAATTTAAAAATCTTGGAGGAAATAAAGACTGCGTATCAAGAAGGAAGAAAAAAAAAACCTAGTAGTAAAATTCTTAGATTGCTAAGACAGCAATCATCATGTTCATGATGATAATAGAACACACACTCGGAGAAGAATAAAATACCCTTGGGCTGGTGGAGTGGCTCAAGTGGTAGAGCGCCAGCCTAGCAAGCACAACACCCTGAGTTCAAACCCCAGTGCCGCAAAAAGAAAAAAAAAAAAATACCCTTGGGATGAAAGATAAAGGTATAGGACTATCCCAGAAGAGGAAGATTTTCTAAATGGAAACTAGGAGAGAAAACATTAAAAACAAAACAAAACAAAAAAAAACTACAGGACCAGTCTAAGAGGTGCATATTACCAAAAAGTGATAGAAAAGAAAATGAAGAAGAAAAAGCCATAAAATCTCCCACGTTCTCTCTGGATACGAAGACATCTTCAAATATAAAGATGAGAAAAACCAAAATGCAAACTATGTCACCTCACATGTAGGAATGAGGGGAAAACTAAATTGCTGGTTTTACACAAACTGATAAGATAGGCAATAAAAAGAAACAAGCAGGGATAGTCATTTGTGATGGGGAGCGGAGGTGTTTCACTGAAAAAAATACATAGTTTTAATTTTTGTGCCTTGTGAATGGAATTCCTATTCAAAGAAGAACTAAAATAAAATAGCAAAGGATTTTTTTTAAAAAAAAACAAAAGCAAAGGACTTTTAAAGGAAGGAGAGTTTACCAGAATTTAATGTTGCACTTTCCATTTGAAAGGCTTTCTGTGTGTTTGACACAGCAGATAAAAACCACCACTTTAAAGCCTGTCTGGCGAAATTTAAACCATGAAGATCAAGCAAATTCCTACATATTTCCAGAGAAAGGGTGAGAAAACATTTAGATTCAAAATGATTTGAGACTTCTGAACCTCTGGAGGATGAGAGGCAACAGTACAGGTCTTTAAAACTATGGAAGAGAATTCCCCACTTAAAATTCTATACTTAGCTAAATTGTCCACTTTTTTTTTTTTTTGGTACTGGAGTTTGAACTCAGGGCCGACCCCTTGAGCCACTTCACTAGCCCTTTTTTTTTTTTTTTTTGGTGGTACTGTGACTTGAACTTCACACCTCACATTTGCTAAGCAGTTGCTCCGTCATTTGAGCCATTCTACCAGCATACCAGTCCTTTGATGGGTTTTTTCAAGATAGAGTCTCCAGACCTATTTGCCCAGGCTAGCTTTGAACCCTGATCCTCTTGATCTCTGCCTCCTGAATAGCTAGGATTACAGGCATGAGCCACCAGCACCTGGCTTGCCCACTTGTTTGAGATAAAAATAGGAGCATTCATTTAAAATAGGGACATACAAGTTCTTTAAAAATTTACCTCCTAAACACTCTTTTATTAGAAAACTCTCAGAAGATATATTTAAGTCAATTTAAACATTACACAATGTATTGAACACGTATATTGAACGCTACATGGTACCCCACTAAAATGTACGATTTTTATGTTTTTATTTGACAGTCAAAAATTAACTTCAAAAAAGAAAGCTATCAGAGGTGCTTCCCTGAGAAAGAGGAAGACCTGGAGTCAGGACTAGGAAAGTCACCAAGAGAAGTCAGTTCCACATCAGAGCCAGTCAGGAGACTTGGGGGAGACTTTCTTAGGAAGAAAAGCTGTGAGAAGCACTGATTTAAAACAAACTCTTGAGAGGAGGTTAATATAAGTGGCTGAGAATTTAGGGTTAAGTCACTGAGAAAAACAGAAAACTAAGCAAACGAGGAAACAAGACAATTAGGTCCAAAGAAAAACAATTTTTAAGGAAAATAAAGGTAACCATAGCTATCCACATTTCCACTGTGAGTACATTAGTATAATTTTGTAAATGACAAGGCTTTTGACTGACCAAAATTATGACATAGCTATATTGGCAGGAAGGGGGTGGGGGGGAAAGGACACAAGTCTAGGAAGGAGAGCACAGAAGAAAATGAGTAAATTATACTCACCACAAACAATACCTACATCTGAAACCCAAGAAATAGCAACCTACATTTAACTGAGAAACCTGAAGGGAGGTCAGTACCAGCATACCTTGTCAAAGGCTGAAGGAGCTGGGATTTTGCCCTACTTAAGAAGCTAACAAATCACCTGTGGGTTTCAGAGATCCTGAACAGCCACAGCGTCTTGGCTAGGGACAGACATCATGCCCAGAAGTAGAAAAGCATCAACGTTTTTGGTTTTGTTCCCTGAATCCCAATTCTCTTGTGGTGGTGCAGAGAGCCGGATGCGCTGGTGTCCACAGTAGGCTGCCTTCCAGGAGAGGAAAGCCTGCGCTCAGGGAACCTGAACTTTCCGTAATGGAGCAGTGGGTCTACCTGCCTTTTGCTCAGGGGAGGATGGTGTCTCTTCAGAGGGCTGCTTGCTAGCCAAACTCTTTTTAAAAGCAAGGCCACAACGCACGACCGTCAGTGCCCCACGACACGCACAGAAATGCACGAGACCTGTGGAGAGCTGACAGCGAGCTTCTTATTCTGTTATTTATTATTATTATTATTATTGGCGGCACTGGGGTTTGAACTCAGGGCCTCACGCTTACTAGGCAGGTGCTCTACCACTTGAGCCACTCCACCAGCCCAATTATTTTATTTTTAAATCCTAATTTTTTTTAAAACTAAAAATCTTACACAGCTTCACTTGCTAAAACAACACGCCCAGCCTTACTCCTCCGGACTGGACAACTTTTCTTTGCAAAGGAGACCCAGAGTCTGGGAAAATCGGAGAGGCAGCCCAGCTTTGTCGCGGGGCGATCTGCTTCCAGATCGGGCTCCACCGCCGGGGACGCACCGGTGACAGCGGACCAGGCGGCCCACGCCGCGGCTCTGACGGGGTGCACGCCCCGGGCCGCCCTCCCCTAGTCTGTGCCCTGTACAGCTGCCCGAGATGCAGTAGGTGAAGGTCACCCGCTGAAGGTCACCCGCGCCGATCGCTGCAGCGAGTCTGGGCGCCCCGGGGGCTCCTCTGCGGCCGCGGAGCCCTCGCGCGGGGCGGACCCCTGGGAGCAGGCGCGGTGCTGGCGCGGGACGCGCGCGCCTCCTCGGCCTCCCGGCCCCTCGCGGGTGCGCAGGGGCGCGCGGGTCGCCGGGGTCCGGTCCGGCCGGGACCGACCGCACGCACCATGACCGCCCCTTCGTCCGCCCGGCTCTACCACTTCCCGTAGCGGCCGATCGGAGCCCTCACCCCTCCGGAGGTCGCGGGAGAGACCGCATGGGTCGCGCTTATCGCCCCATCTCCAGTTACATAAGGCCGCGCCCCTATCTCCGAGGGCCATCGCCTGTCAGCGCGCCTTCTCCCACGCGCGGGGGCGCCTGGCCGCGCTCCCGCACGCTTTTTGCTGGTCTTGAGGGACAGGGGGACGTTGACTCATCCCTGTGCAGGGCTCTGGGACTTGCACAGCTCGAGGTGTTTCCCCGCTCCTTCCCCACCCACGAAGAAACCCCCCCCCGCACTCCCCCACTCCCGGCATCTTCCGCTGGCCCTGCACTATGAATGAGGGAAACTGAGGCCCACAGAGGGGTCACCCAGCCAGGCTGCGGCACTTCAGTCCCTGGTGTGCCACGTGGGGTAGGGGTGGGCTTCCTGATATCGGAGTTGTGGTTGGGATGCGAAGCTTTGGGTATGGTCAGAAATCTGGGAATTACTTTCCAGGTGGAAAGAGATGTGGACAGGCTGCAGGCTTCTGCAGGAGTGAGGGCTCCAGCATCCCTCATAAGATCCTTGTGAGGCTGAGCCTCACTGAGAAGAGGACCCAGAGAGCCTGAGCTAGCAGAAAGGGGACCTGGAGGGACAGGCAGAGGAAGTGGGTAAGGGTGCGATATTGCCTTGAGCACCCAAAGCACTCAAATAGGCAAATGCTGTGGCCTCTGCTGTGGGGAGGGGGAGAGGGGTGGGAGGAGGGGTGTTCTGGAGGACTTGGAGGGAAATGAAGAAGGGCAGGGAAAAGGCTACACGCCAGAGTCAGGGTGGATGCCCAGGTGGGCTGCTTGCAGGGGACAGGCCCAGGAGCTGCTCTAGGTTCACTTCCCAGCACTGCAAGGAGTGGGATAAAAGACTGAAAGCCTGGGTGGGCCCCCAGTATCCAGGCTGCCCACCACCAGAGTTATCATCAAAGCAACTTTTTAAATTTTTAGGTAGATCCCGCTGGCTCGGCATTTCAGTGAAGCTCTGGAGTCCACTTAACCCTTCCCACAGTGCTGTCAAGGAGGTAGCAGGCAGGCCTGGAGTAAGCTTCTCTCTCTCTCTCTGTTCTGCTTGAAGTGTGTACCCAAAGCCAGCATCACTTTGTTAATGTAAGAAACCCATTCACTGAAAAAATTAAATTCCCAAATTACCACAAGCAATAGACTGGTCACAGACACAGTGCCACTGAGGCTGACCAGCACTTCTGGAGACCCAAAGGGATCTTGGGTTTGGCTCCACTATCCAGGTGCTCAAGATGTTCAGGAAAAACTGCTGGCATTGGTGATACCAGGCCACCCTCAGAGCCCTCTCACCAGCCCTGGGAATGGAGACATTCAGATCTTGGAAACTCTGCCCCAGACCCTTCTCAATAAATCCACGAAATCAAACGTTTTCCTTTATACGACGGATTTTCCACAAAGTTAAAATCAAGATGAGTAAAGATGTGGTTTCTAGATAGTGCCCAACAAAGCAGAGATCCAGGGGGTGAAGTGTCACTACTCAGGCCTATAAAAGCTGTCACAAGAAGCCAAGGCCACAACCACTCAGCTCAGGGCAGCCGATGGTAGATCTGCCCCTCAGACCTGCAGTGTTGATTCTGGGCCTCATGGCACTCTTGGTAACCGTGGTTCTAGCTCTCACCTGTCTTGGTGGCCTTGCCGCCCCAGGCCCTGTGCCCCACTCCATGGCCCTGAAGGAACTCATTGAGGAGCTAGTCAATATCACGCAGGACCAGAAGGTGAGTGTGGCTGGGTGGTGCCTCCCAAGCAGAGGTTATGAGCAGGCTGGCCCTGTGCACCTGCGAGTTGGGAAGAAACCCACTGAACCGGGACTAGGCCCAGCTATGTGGGAGAAAGACAAGCCAGGCTGGGGTGTTGAGCAATGTGGGATGGACTTGTGGAGGGGGCGGGTGGTCTGGTGAGCCCCTAGGGACCACTTGGCTCCTCTGGCTTGGCCCTACTACCACTGCCGGCTCCTATTCAGTCATTCCTCAACAGAGGAAAGCAGAGACGGGTCAGTCACCTTCTAGGACCATTTGGCAGCTGGATTTCAAATGTAGTAATTCATCTATCATTCACAGCATCTTAGTTATGCCCATTCGATGGGAGGATTCATTTTAGAGTGGGCTCCTGTCCCCATAGGACAGCTCACACTAGCCACGCTCTGATTATGTGCCAGGTCCAGCGATGGGTGCTTAACATGTCGTTTCATTGCTGCCAGCACCTGCAGAAGCAGATGTGATGGCCATTTTGTTAAGACTCAGTGAGGTTAATTGTCAGAGGCCAGACTCAAACCAAGCCCGGCCAATGCAGAGTATCCACGCTAACTGTAGTGTCCTCTTCAGTACTTAATATACCACTGCCTTCCATCTAGTTTGTCCTTGTCAGCAGTGACCTGGGCCACCCCTCTCTCAGCTAACCCCACTCTCTCCCCTCCTGAAGGGTTCTGGTCCTCCTACCCAGGCCACCGGCCACCGTGAGCTTTGAATAAGGCTTGTTCCTTACCAACTATCACTCAGTTTTCCTCTTTCAGCTTCAGTGCTCTAATATACCCATCCCCCAGTCCCTCACACAGAGCAGGAACTCGAGCTCAGGAATGCTGAGGGCTGCTGGGCCTGACTGTGCTACAGCACGGTGCTGGTGCTTGTGACTCTGGCCTTGCGGGGACCTGGCCTGGACTGGCTGTGAAGGCCTGTGACTGCTGTCAGCTCACTGTTTCTTTGTCCCCTCAGACTCCCCTCTGCAATGGCAGCATGGTGTGGAGCGCTGACCTGACAGCTGGAGGGGTAAGGACCCTTGGTGGGGCAAGGTGATAGTAGCCCAAGTAGACCTTGGGTTTGTCGTCTCTGTGCCCCACTCATGTGGCTGGGACTTTCCAAACAAATTTCCCTCCCTCCCCTCATGACCTGGGCCCTCCCTACCACCCAGACCTACCTCCAGCAGACCTTTTGGGCCCTCTTCCCGTAAACCCCCTAAACTGAAGGCAAATGCCCCAAGACAGGCCTGACCCCTGAGGTCTCCTCTCCACAGTACTGTGCAGCCCTGGAGTCTCTGGCTAATGTCTCCAGCTGCAGCACCATCCACAAGACCCAGAAGATGCTAAACGGACTCTGCACACGCAAGGCCTCAACCAGGGTAAGGCTGCCCTGACACCACCCCCTGCACCCCACTCATGCCAACTGGGCTCCCTTGGGACCTCCAGGGGAACAAGACTGAGCATCCCAAATATGTGTCCTCCAGGGGGTGGGTCCACTGTGGCAGCGGGCACATGAGTTTGGGATTTATAGGACCTGGACTCAAGAGCTCCTGACTCCTACCCGAGCCTCAGTTTCCACATCAGTAAAATATGGGTAATAACAGTAACCACCTGGTAGGGACTTTTGCGAGTCGGTCTCTGGAAAGCCCCCGGCAGGTGCTGGCCTTCCTTGCCTCTGGCGTCCCACTAATGCCCTGGCCTCTTTGTCCTGCAGCAGGTATCCAGCATCCGAGACACGAAAATTGAGGTGGCCCAGTTCATAAAGACCTTGCTCAGATACTCACAGAAACTTTATCGTAATGAAATATTCAACTGAAGCAAGAAACGCAGAGACCGGCCCTGAATACTTCAGTGGCAGAGCGGTTTTTCCTGTGTGATGCCAGATATGTCTCGGGGTGGGGATGAGGGTTAGGGAGGGTGAAATCGCCTTAGCTTGGACCTCAGCCCGTGCTGCCTGCCTGCTGCCAAGCTTACCCCTTGCCTGGTACCCAGGGCTCTAAGCTCGGGAAACTGGGTTGAAGACACTGTCACACACCCATCTACTGCCTCAAGCAAACTGTAGCATTTCAGTGGGTGCCACCCTCGGCCAGACATGTGGTGGGAGAGGGACCCACTTCACCCTGGGGTGAGGGAGGCAGGGAGCAGCTCAGGCAAATTTTTCTTGGTCTTATTTATCATTATTGTGTTATTTAAATGAGTATTTGTCAGTGTTGGGGAGACTGTTACTGCTGGGTCCAGATCTGGGGCTCCAGCACGGAACAGTGGGTCCTGGGGGTCCCTGGTAATAAGTACTGTGCACACAATTCTGCTACCTCACTGGGGACCTGGGACCACTGGGCCTCACCTGAGACAGGGGACAGGAGAGAGAACTGAACAGCGCTCCTGTCTGCCAGCCAGCAGTGGCCCTCAACCACAAAGTAATTTATTGTTTTGTCCTTGTATTTAAAGTTAAGTATTAAATATGTTAGCAAAGTTAATAATATATGGAAGAGTGGCCTAGCACACTGAGGGTGTGGGCGTGTGGGGCTTGGGGGAGGGGGTCATTGAGCAAGCTGTTTCATTGACTGTCAAGCTGGATGTCAGAAATAAAGATGGTGACAGATAGGCCTAATGGTGTCTGCCTTTTATTTTGGCTCTTGGGGATCCTGGTCTGTGGTCTCCAAACAGGAGCTCTGCAGGCTGGCCAGAATGGGGAGGGTGAAGGGCAAGAACTGGACTGAAAGAAAGTGACCAAGCTCTTGGTGTTGGGGACACACAGCCTAGAGGAAGCCCCTGCCCGTGCCTGCTACCGGCCAGGGTGTCAGGGTTCATGGAGCAGGTGCAGATCTGGCGCGTACCCCATGACTACCAATGGTATCTCCCTCACAATCCAGAGAGGCAGAGGAGGACTCCTAGGCCTTGCCCAAAGTCACATGCCGGTGAGGAGCAAAGCCGCAGCTTGCACCCAAAATTCTCTCCAACTCCAAAGACCACACTGTATTTTTTAGTAGTACATAGTAATTGTGTAATGTGTGAGTTTCACTGTGATGTTACTATGCATGCATATAATATACTTGGATGATATTCACCCCCCATTATTCTTTCTTGTCCCCCTTCCCTCCACCCCCTTTGTAATTCTTTCTTGCAGTTGTTACATGGGTTTCATTATGACATTTTCATACCTGCATGCAATGTACTTTGACCATATTCTACCCACCCGCCCTCTCCTACTGGTCCTTACATCACCAGCTATATGTCCCCATGAGCATGGTTCATGGTCCCCTGACCATGGTCAGGTCCACTTTTTTCAAAGCCCACTCTTTGTAATATATTTTTTATTAGCATACATTATAGTACAAAGGGATTTCATTGTTACAATTCCATACATGCATACAGTGTAGTTTGAACAAATTCACTCCATCTATTATATTCCCTCAACCCCCTTGCCAAACAGTGTTTGGTGGGTTTTATTATGCTGTTTTCTTATGGATATACTTATACGTACATACACGCATACAATAGAAATGTACTTAATCCTCTTCACTCCCCAGTACCCTCTTCTGACTCCCTTCCCCTCTCCCACTGTCCCCTCCCACACAGTTCCTCTTAATGTCCCATTAATATTATCACCATCATCCCTTTAGGTCTAGATTCCACATATGAGTGACAATATGCGATATTTGGCTTTTTTGAGCTTGGCTTATTTCGCTCAACATGATGATCTCCAGTTCCATCTGTTTTCATAATTTCATTCTTTTTATGGCTCAATAATTCTCCATTTTCTTTATCCATTCATCAGGTGTTTGGCACCTAGGCTGATTTCATAGCTTAACTATTGTGAATAGTGTCACAATAAACGTGGGTGTGCAAATGTCTCTCTTGTATATTGAGTCACACGCCTTCATGTAAATGCCCAAGAGTGGTATGAGGTATAAGACAGTTCTGTTTTTAGGTTTTTTTTTTTTTTAGGAACCTCCATACTGATTTCTATAGTCGTTGCAGTAGTTTATATTCCCTCCAACAGTGTATGAGGTTCTTTTCTCCCTCAAATCCTCTCCAGAATTCATTGTTTTCGATGATAGCCATTCTGACCAGGGTGAGATGGAATCTTGGTGTAGTTTTGATTTGTATTTCCTTCATGGCTGAGAATTCTTCATGCATTTATTGGCCATTTGTACTTCTTCTGAGAACTGTCTGTTCGATTAATTTGCCCATTTATTAATTGGATTTTTTGTTCTTTTTGGTGTTCAATTTTTTTGATGTCCTTGTATATATTAATCCTTTATTCATTGAATAACTGGTAAAGATTTTTCTCCCATTCTGTGTATTGTCTCTGGATTCTGGTAATTACGTCTTTTGTTGTGCAAAAATTTTAATTTGATACAATCCTATTTGTCAATTCTTGTTCTTCATTCCTGGGCAATCGGAGAACTATTCAGAAAACAATTGCCTATGTCTATGTTTTCCAGTGCTTTTCCTATGTTTTCCTGTAGTACTTTCAAGGTTTCAGGTGTTACATTAAGATCTTTGATCCATTTTGAACTGGTTTTTGTAGAGGGCAGGAGATAGAGATCTAGGTTCAGTAGATAACCAGTTTTGCCGGCACTATTTGATGAAGAGGCCCAAAGCCCACACTCTCAACCACTCTGTCCAAAAGTCTTCTCTGTCCAAAATTCACCTGTCTGAACCCACTATCTCCCTCTACAATACTGTCACTAGCCTGTTTGGGTGTTCATTACCACTTTCTCATGACAGCCCATTCAATTTTTGGACCCCACTTTGTGCACACTTTGTGAACAAAGAGGATCAGTTGACTCGTGGCCCGTGGACCATGGGGGACTGGAATGGAGCACGGCCTAAGGTCCCTGACTAGGCCATGTCTCGGAGGAAAGTTCCTTGCCTCTGCCTTGTCCATCCAGGAGCTGGAGTGCCAGAACCATTAGGTCTCAGCAAGCCCCAGCTAGAGGTCAAGCCCATCAGCACCTTTGGTTGGTGCCCAGAGCAGAGGATGACCCCAGAAGGACAGAATGCCTTTGCAGTGTGTAGTGGGTTGTCAGGTACCAGTTTCAAACTTTGAAAGGCAGGCAGATGCCCTTCCCAGGGATCCCAGAGCCTGGGATATGAGAGTTCATGGCTGTGTGACATTTGGGTGACAGCGAGGAAGAGGCAGGGATTTGGCCAGGACCTGATGATGTGGCTGGCTGCTCAGGAATCGCTACCTTCTTCCTCACCTCACTGCCACCAGGGAGAGGCAAGGGAAGAAGCCAAGCCTAGCAACACAAGGAGTTGGGCTGCTCCCCAGAAGAGAAGCCTTGGGCAGGGGACCTGAGACTGTGCAGGGCAGGGGGCAGAACGGGCTGCTGGTGCCAAGGGTGTGGCAGAACCTAGGTCCCCTGTGTGTGCTTAGGACTACCTGTGGCTGGCAGAGCACCAGCCATCTGGACTGGTGGTCACTAGACCACCAGGCATCACATGGACACACAAGAACTGTGGAGGGTCTGGGGGAGGCTGCTCTCTGCCAGGACCCCTCCAGTCTGGAGGTGAGCAGGTGCTGCCCCCGGGACATGAGGGAGGCTGGGAAGTTGGGGCGGAGGCAGGGAAGTAGCCAGGATCTCAGCATCCCTCTCCATCCACAGTGTAAAATTTTAAGGCCAGAAGGATATTTACGAAAGAGTAATGATTTTCTTCAAACAACTTAGCAATCCATTGCTGGCATTTATGACCTATGGCATTGACCTGTCTGTCCAGAATGAAGACAGAAACTCCCAGTGAACTCCCATGAGAATCCCTCTGAGACAAAGGCTGGCACTAGGGTTAGCGTGTAGGAGGGCTCCTCATGACTTTCTGGAGACATACACCAAGCCCATTCCAGCAGAATAGAGGGTTGGTGCACCCTGCAGAGAGGGCCGTGCCCGATTTTGCCACTAGGGGTCCACAGCTCGCTACATCCTTAGCACTGTCACCATCTCAGCACTGCCACAACTCCAGTTCCTCATGCTTCTGAGACTGTCCTCCATGGGGGACCTTTGGTCCCCAGTGGTATCCAGTAAGCTGGAGTAGGTACAGGGCCCTCCAGGGATGAGGGATGCCTTACATAGCTACAGAGCTAAGCCACTGCTGGTGACAACAGGGAAGGCCCAGGTGGAGAAGGAGAGAGGAGAAACAGTAAAAAGTTTGGTGTCAGCTGCTATGTTTGGGAGCACCACCCACCACCAGGGGACTACTGACCCCTCGGTGTCTGCTGCGAGTTTTTGATAGCCCCAGAGCCTGGTTTCCCTCTTAACACAAAGCAAATCCTCAGCAGGGCCCAGAGAGCAAGGGGCTGAAAAGAGATCAGTGTGCCTGCTGAGTGGGAGGGTGGTGCTGGTCGGGGGCCCAGGTCGGGGAGCCCCTCAGCACCCTAAGAACCCCAGGCCTGGAAGGTTTCACTGGAAGAGGAGCTGGGGCTGAAGTGAGAAGTGAGACACACACGAGTTTCCGGAGAACTTGGCAGCCAGCACCTCTGTGTGCTGCTCAGATGAGTGTCAGAAAACACTCCAAGTCACTTCAGGGGTTTTCGGAGGCTGGTCCCTGAGCTGCTCAGGATGAGGAGGGGCAGGACCCAGAGGACAAGGTCTGTGTCCATCTGTTTCCCTGTGACCAAGGGTGGCTGACGGTAGGGGCTTATCAAACCCATCAGCTTATCACTTTGGCACTATGGTCAACTTGGAGGCGTCTTCTTTGCCTCTCCAGTTATCTGGTCAGTGATGACAAACCTAAGCCCTGCCCACCCCTCTCCCTCACCCCTTGGGCTAACTCTCTTCTGAGAAGGGGGCAGGTGAAAGCTGGCCATGCTCC